ATATATATATATATAAAATAATTTTGATGTTTACATTTATCACACTTTTATTTTAAAAATTGAGGGCATTTTCCTAAATAGCACATAGTCGAAAGTATTTACATGCCTCACACCTAAACTTTCATATTTACACACTTAGCATTCAAATTTTTAATATCATATTGTTGTTATAATTTTTGAAAAATGATACAACTTTTCATGTATGTTGAAAAAAGTTAAAACACCGTAATGTTATATGTGTAAATATAATTTTTTTTTGGTAATATATATGTAAATACATAAGAATTGTGTGCTATATATGTAAATTTCCCAAAAAAACATATGCATTTAGGATCTATTTCAGTTTAAAAAAAATTAGAAGTAGCGAAATTTTTATGTCATGTCAAAATTTTAATATATATATATATATTGTATGTAAAAATGAAAATTTAGATTTTAGAGATGTAAATATATCAGAGCAGGTATGTAAATCCCAAATAAAATTATGTATAAAAATTAAAAATAATTTATAATATGTAGTTATATATTTGAACAGCACCTTATCTCTATCACCACCCAAAATGGCTCTTTAGTCTTATAGTTTTTGAGGGAAGGAAACTGAAGTAACCTCTTAACCATTTCAATACTAATGTCTTATGAATTAAGAAAACCGGAATTTAATTTTAGATTGGCTTTAATCCCACTTAAGAGATAAATGCTTGCTATTGTTTTGATTGCCTTTAGTCCCAAATTCATTTTGAATGAACTAGAAAGATAGAATTTCGAAGGAACAAAAATGAAGATCTAAAGCATAAATCAGCCAAAAAAAAGGCATGTACAAATATACCACTCACATGTTATGTATTTACATATCTAACAATTGAATTTTACTTTTTACATTCATACGAATTACAACTTTCAAATCACATAAAAAATATCACTTTTTTAAATAATTTAAAAAGTGAATTGCAAATCTTCATGCCTAAGTAAGGTAGCATATATGTAAAAATTGAAGTTTAGATGTTAGATGCATACATTCATAGGAAATGAGGGGTATGTATGCAAACTGCAAAAAATAATGTTTTGGAAGAATATATGTCTAGTTACGTGATATGAAAGATTTTGATGGTGTAATTGTAACAAGTAAAATTTAGTGTGACAAATGTAGATACATAGGAATTGGGCACTATGTATATAAATGCAGCTTTTAGTCATTTAAGTGGCACATTCACTAGGTTATACGCAACCCTTAAAGTGAAATGCCTTATCCAAATTTATTAATTTATATGATCACATGTTAATCATTTTGTTGTGAGTGCCAAGTTTAATATTGATTAAATTTCTTGGCAATGTTTAATTATCTCAATTTCATCACTCTAAGCCAAATATCAACCTAAGTTCATAACTAACTTTTGCAAGTGATTCTAAATTGTAGAGATGTTAACAAATTTTACTCCTAACTTTTTGAATTTGCTTGAAATGGATTATAGCTAGAGAATTTGTTAGTGAGATATGTTTGAATTGGAGAAGGCTTAGAGATTGAAAAAACTCGAAAGCTCTACTCGATGGTCAACATTATTAACTCCCAATTATCACCACTTAAACCTAACTATCATCTCTGCATTGACATTGTCTAATGATTATTCATGGACATGTGTTGCTCAACAATCATGACTTGATAGCCATCATCGCTCTCCACTACTTTTATAATCACTATTATAATCATAGGAGATAATCAATTTTTCGCAACTTTATAATCATATATTCTCAAATTATCTGAAATGACAATTTTTATAACCTAATGTACATAGTGAATTATTTAACAGAGCTAAGCTAACTAAAATTTTTTTTCTTAGTTTTTCACATAAATCTTGTGATTATTTTTATAACACTTTCATTTATCCATATATATATATGTTAAATTTTAATATGAGGCTAACATGACAAACTCACATACCAACTCTAGCTTATATTAGATTCAAAAAGGTATTAAAAAAATCAAGTAATCTTTTTAGTGCTTTGGACTTCAATATAATCAAATTTACTAGTTTTCCACTCTAGTGGTTTATAAATAAGTCATTTAATATATAAAATTATAGTGATTAAAAATTATTTCTTTACTTTCTTGTGTGTTTCTTCCTCCTCTCCCACTTTGATATAGTATTAGAGCAACTGATTGTTGCAGCCCCAAGATCAATGAAGGCTTCATCTTCCACCACCCCACATCTCATTCATTCCTCTCAATAATTCTTAAATAGGATGAAGGAAATTCATATCCCTTACCCTCTCAAATTCTTGACATGTTGCTTGTACTCCTCTTCTATTTGAAATTTACGTTGGTGGGTGAGGGTTGGGCGTGAGGTTGAACAGGGAAGTAAGCCTCATTGAAAAGAACATGTTGTGATATGATTATTAACTCCTGTTAAATATCATAGCATTGATAGCCTTTGTGACGGTGACTATAACCCAAAAAGACACAAAGGGGCTTTGCGATGAAATATGGTGTTCATAGAAGGTGGATGCCATGGGAAGCATGCACAACCGACACCTCCCCCTCACCCATTACGCATGCTTTACCATCCCCCTATTCCACATCTTTCGCCCAGAACCCATCCCATGATTACTCACTCCCAAACTGGGAAGATCAAACCTTTCCAAATATTCTTCCTTTTACATAACACAACTTTTGACTCGACCATCACACTGAAACAAGCCATGCAAAACTTCACATAAGTAAAACAATGTCGGGTGAATTTTTAGCACTTTAACAACAAGGTAGTTTGACCGTTATTCCTCCAAACTCAAATCAAAATATTCTAGGATGTAAATGACTCTCCAAATCAAGTATGATACATAAGGAACCATTGCTTTTCATAAAGCAGGACTGGTGGCTCAAGGTTTCAAGCAACAACCAACTATAGATTTTCATGAAACTTTTAGCTCTGTTGCTAAATTTT